AACTATATAGCAAGTCATTATAGTTAGAAAAATAATTTTTAGATATTTCAATATTATATGAAAAGGTTAGTTAACGTTTAAAATTTCAATAAATTCTGGCCATAGTCGATCATCTTCCGACATAGCCTTTAAAAAATATTGGTATCTATTATAAATTATTTGTGTTATTTTATCTATTTTATGTGCTAAATATGATAACAGAATAATTTATTGTTTAAAAATTATCCATATAGTAACAGGTATAAAATATAAATATTTAATTAACAAAAAAACGTATGTTTGTAAATTTTAGTAAAATAATTTTAGTAAACAAGGTGAAAGGTATTTTCAAAAACTTAAATTACCAAAACATCGCCGATAATAGGGGCCAACCCTACGTCAAAATCAAGGGCCCGGTCGACGAGTGCCCGTTGTTTAGGGGTTTTAGGGTAGAGCTGACCGTCCGGTGCGTACCGGTTGCACAGGTATTTCATGATCGCCCGGCTCTCCCATATTGTAAACCCTGTATCAGTCTCAACAATAGTGGGTACCATATGAGCGGGGTTAATCTGTTAAAAAATGCCATGTTAAATTAAATATAGATTCATATAATATCTTATATTGTTTATTATTTTAAGGCATTTATGTTTTAATAGCTAAATAATTTTTAAAAAATTAAAATAACATTATTCTACAAGGAGATATATTACTGTATATAAAAACATGACATACCTCTAGGTATTCAGGCTTTAATTGATCGCCATTATTGAGATCCATGGACTTAATGTTGATCTCAATGGCCAACTCCCTGGCCGTCATTAGTACGGCACGACATGGCCCACTAAACCGGTAGTAATATAAATCAATAGACATTTTTGTGACAAAATATTAATATATTTTGTTTTATTAAAATGAATATATTTTTGTTAAAACGTTTATTTTTATATAAATGGTATGTTAGAGTAAATAATAGTTACATTTTATATTTATCAATATATGACTAAACCTTTGAACATGTACATTGTAGTTTTGTGATAAACTATTGCATTTACCTTGATTTTTACTATATTGTTTTATTTTGCGCAAGTGTGCTACATCAAATAATTTAGTGCAAGTACTAACTATACTAACGATAAACAATTTATTTATACATTTTAGCGCAACTACTGTATTAGTGCAATATAATTTGTATTATGAATTATAGCAAGTTATATAATCATAATAAAATAACCTTTAATGTTTTGAATTAAATATGTTATTTATAATTATTTATAGTTTATAGTTTAAAATTTAAATTTAAAATAAGTAAAAATATTTGGGTGTCTACGGAAATTCCATAACTACAGTTTCTAAAGATTTATAAAATTTATATAAAAGGTTTGCATTAAAAATTACAGTCTATGAAAATTAGTAATTAGTTTTTAATTTAATAATTTACGACATTTGATTTACAAAAGGCGTTTTAGATGACCCAAAATAATGTGCAATATAAAAAAACATTAAAACACAATTATTTATTTAAATAATAGTTACAGTTTTATCGCAAATTAATAAACTATAGTCCAATACAAAACACTATACAGTGTATAATATACACGTTGACACTATGTACATAGCTAACATTTTAATGAATTTTTAAAGTATAATTTGCCTTAGTATATAATTTTAAAACTTTATTTAAAATAAATAATATTATTATTATTATCCAGGTGATTATAAAACATTGTGTTTTTTATATTACTTCGCGACTCGAGCACCGGTAGCTGTACGGACGGGTAGGTGAGGGCCGCACTGTTAGCCTTCTGGTTGGCTGAATAGACCACAAGATTGTAGTCGACGTGAGGGGTGAGGGAATCGACGATGAATTTGGGCTGAAGTGAGCTATAATTAGCGATCAATTACGTACGCATTCCGGTGGACCTGAAATCAGTATAAAAAATCAGTCGCTAATAAAAAATTAAATTTATTTTTAGTATTTTAGTAATTACTAGTTATACATGTTAAATACTAATTTTTTGTATTTATAAAGCTGTTAAAATTAAATTTATAAAAATATTGTTAGTTATAAAATAATATGGCATAAATTACTGGATTATGGAGACAATGCTCAATTAATTTTTGCTATTTATAAGCTGTAAAAGTATAATTTAATTTATTAGAATCTGAATTATAATATTAAAAAATAACACCTGGATTACTACTCCTGAATTATTTTAATTGAATACTTTGTTAAATTATATGGTTAAATTTTGCTATTACGGTAGAATAATTTAAATTCTGTAAAAGTCTAATATAATTTATTGAAACTTAATTTATAATGTTATAAACTTGGGTGTAAAGGACTTGGGTGTTCTAGCTAATTAAATTGTGGAAATTAGATTTTCATAAAATAGAAAATGTATAATATAGTATTTTTTCAGTACATTATACTTTTAAAAAATAAAGTTATATTTTTATTTAAAAAATTATATATATTATACAAGTAGTTTAATTCAACGTATAAAATTAAATGTTCAACTGGGTACAATTAAAATGTATAATATTATTACAAAACTATTTTGACACAAACTTGTTTCCGTAAGAAATAACTGGAAAAAGTAAACATGCTCAATCATCTCTAGCAAATATGTCATTACAGGCATCCGTGTCCTCCGGGGGCACACATACGCGAAACTGCTCGTTAAACACAGCGTAAGCCGGGTTACAGTCGTAAAGTGACTTGGTGAATTTGCCCTGCACTTTATGGCACCGGTAGAACTTGTGACAGTCGTTGGGATTACGGTAATAGTCCTCATCATCGCAGGGGAGGGGCTGCGTCCACTCGGCCGGTATGGTCTGAGGTGTAGGTGTAGTCCAGGCCTTACGTCTAGCCGTGGCCTTTGGGAAGAGCTCCGGATGTGCGACACAACACATGTAATCGCATACCTATGGGTTGATTAGCATAAGAAAGCATAAATTATTTGTAAATTTAAAAAGTTTAAGTCAGACTCTCCTCAAAGATAGGCTCCTTGGAGCCAAATTCTTACACGTTTTTAATATCCTTCAACTGTTTGGCTCACAAATATAGTACACATTAGTGTGAGTGAGAGTTATAAAATATTAATTTGAGTTATAAACTGTAATTTTTAAATAAAGCATTTATTTTAGTATTTTTATGTCTAAAATATTGACTAACTTATAAAAATGTATATGACAAGTTTCTATTAGTTAAGTTAGTTATTATTTTTAAAACTATAATTCTCTACTATAAATCAAGATAGAAATGTCTAGAAATTTCACATTTAAAGGTGACTTTGAATACAGTAAAAATAGTAATGATATTTGTGTTTGTAAAAAGTTTTATCTACAAGTAATTATATGAAATAAATAAATTATGTTCTACATATTTTTTGTTTTTTAATACTTTTGAGGTCTCTGGTTTAAGACCATAATAATTTAAAATAAAATAATTTTCAAATGTTATTATTTTGCTATGTTATTGATTTACAGTTTACAATCTCTTTCTCTCTCTCTCTCTCTCTCTCTCCCTACTCACTCACACTCATAAACACAATTTTTAAATATTACAAAAGGTAACCTAGTACATACGTGATAAGGTCCGCATTTGACATCATCCTCCATAAATTGTTCAAAAACATCGACCACTGGTCTGCCAAAGGTCTGGCACTGGACTATATCATCCCTGAGTGATATATGAGCAGGGTACGATCGTATTGTATTAGCGCTATTGGTAGGCAGCTCGTCCTCACAAAGTGGACATTCAATTTGACGTGGGTTATTATACGTGTTTTGCCCGATAAATGACATTTTAACGGTACCGGTGCTGTTGAATCTGGGGAACAGGTAGTGTTGCCAACCCTCCAGTTTTTGCCTGAAGTCTCCAGGAATCGGGTATTAAACTCAGACTTCAGTTTGAGGTCTGCCCTGGATATGGGGAACTCCAGGAAAAAATAATAACATTTTAAACAAAA